TTTTTTGGTGCGGGGGGCGTATTATACACGTAGTTGTAGATAAATCACAGTTTTTTTAAATACATGAAAATAGTCATCTAAAGGTCATCTCTTGACAGAGACTGAACCGAAGAAGGAGCGCGCGGCCCCCTGTTCGGAATGTTCCATACTTTAAACCTTACCCGCCAGCTCCATCGCGCATTCACGCCATCATTGTCTTTGAGGCTGCGAAGAGAGAGTGAGTTAAATTTGAAACTTACTCTTATACTGGCCGGTTCTGTGAATAAAAAAAAACTGCTGTTATTGGGGCTGAGATGCTCCTCGAGCCTAGCCCGGTTGACGCGCACTTTACAGCCAGCTGGTGTCGTCAATGGCGAATCCGGTGTTCCGGGCAGTTCAGTTTCCCTAGGTTTCCCCTGTCGCGCGCTGATTTGTACACGGTTTCGCTGTTGTTTTCATGTCTTTTTACGAAGCTCTTGAGGTAAACAAGCCGTATATTTTAAAACATCACATGCCTTTTCGATGTTTTTTGTTTTTACAGATAATAAATTAAATTATTTAATTCGCTGAATATCCATGTGAGAAATACTTGAAGTCTGCAGTGTGTCTTTCATGTAGTACAGTATAGTAGGAATGTTACTTTTCTTAGTTTCAGATAAGGTACAGTATGTTCAGATGTATTTCAGCAGAAACCTCATTAGTAAAACTATTGATGTTTGAATGAATATTGATCACAAATATTACATCACAATATTAAATCAATTAAAACAGCTGAAGTAATTCATCCCCCACACTTTTGAAAAGCTTGCTACGCCCCTGAAGCGGAGTAACATAAGATAGACGCTTAAGACAATGACTGACTGGGCAAATGAACAAAGGCAGGCACTTAAATACAATGATAATGAGGATTAAAAACAGGCAGGTGTGAATCATAATAGACAACCAATTAACAAGGTAATGGAACAATAAGACAAAAGTGAAATAACACAATTAACAAGACCAGGAACCAGGGAACCTAACGAACACTAAGGCTCAACCGCTCTAGGGAAGACTAGGAACATAAGGCTACAAAGAACACGATAAAAACAGGCACAATAAGGTAAATCAAAAGCGGGGACCAAAAGCAAAGACAAAGATACAAAACCAAACATATAGGGAAAACTGATAGCCTACTACTTAAGTTACAGCGATAGGTGGGTTTACGGTCTCAGGGGACACGCTCGACCCACTGAGCTATGCGGCGGTCCGGTAACAGGCGCTGACCCTGACAAAGTATGCATAACTATTCAACAAAATAAAACAGACATTAAAAATTACGATATGTATTTTTTGCCTGTGCGCCATTTATCAGTGTTTTAAAATTAAATGAACCAAGGAACAGTGATTCTTCGCCTTTCCCCTCCGTCAGCTTCCTTGCGAGATGCTAACAGAATGGTGCGATTTTAGCTCTGGATTCCGTGAACCGGGCCATAACTGGTTAAGGTTGTCATAGTTGAGATTAGCCAAATGCCCACAGAAATTAGAGGAGAGTTCCTACAATGATATAGATACCCAATCTCTCTCTCTAGCTGTGTGCGTGTGTGTTTATAAAGAAACATCCTAGCTTCCATCGTGGTCAGAGCAAGCATATATAAGTTTCGTACCTTAACTCCAGATGCTGTTCCAGATGCAGTCAGAGGAAGTCCAGATGCATGGGGCAGCGCTCGCGCGCATCCCCTCTCACACTGAATGACCAGGGAACAGGATTTAGTTTTGAATTGTTTTAGCCGGATGGTTAAAATAAAGGTGATGAAAGGAAACGTCCACTTCTCAACGATGACTAAATGGCCCTAAATTACATATATATCCAGTTACGCCATCTTTTAATGCAGCTATTTAGTGCATCAGTGCATGGTTAGTGGTTTTTGTGTCTCAAACTATGGGGCGCCAAGTGTCAAGCGCTCGTTTTCGTGCACAAAATACATTTTGTGCCCCAAAAAGCATTATTTAATTACGAAATCAATTAATGCCTTGCAGCATTTTATCCACCGAAAACATACATAGACTTCACTTTCTTTCCTCCACAGAAATCAAAAGGGACGTTTCAGTTTGTGCACTAAATTGTTATAGTAACACTTCACACCTCGTGCAGCCTGCACGCTGCCTCAAATGGGGACTCCGAGTCCCATCGCTTTTTGTTGCTCTGGGTCTATTTTTACTTTGACGCAACGGAACCGAAACTCCCGAAGGCTCCAGGCAGGCCGCCCCTCACCGGCAGCAGGATGATAAGCAACAGATGAGCGGCCATGCACAGAAAAGCTACTTCCAATCATTTAAAAGTGATCAAAAATGTCCATATTATCATCATATAAGTAAAACTGCATTTAAATGGGATATTAAACGGCACACAGTGAATTTAGCCTACATTTTAAATTTTAACTAAAGCACTCGCAGAGAGCCCACTGCGCATAGTGACGTCGGAATGACATCTTTAATATGTCGTTTTTGGACGTCCAATTTTGGTCCACTGAAGGGGTTGTTTTGTAACGCCAGGCGACGTCTTTTTTTGACGTCTAATGAACGTCTAGTATTGACGGCCGTGGGACCTCCATGTATGGGCTATTTATAGTCCAAACGTGGTCGTTGTGGACGTCTTTATGGAGGGAAATCCCGGACATTTTTCAAAAGGAATTGCA